AAATTGACATAGTAGTAGTTTTCCCCGCGCCATTGTGACCCAAAAGAGCAGTGATTTGACTGCGATACGCCTTCAAACTCAGGCCATCAACAGCGACTTTTTTCCCTTCTAGTGACCAGAAAACCTTCCGCAAATTTGCAATGTCGATTCCGGCTTGCAAATGCTGAGGCTCATCTTCAAAGAACTGGTTTTTGCCAGCTAGTATCGAAGCAGATGCTGAGTCCGATTTTGCATTCACTTTGCTCTTCTTGGGAAACCAGTATGAAAGCTGTGAAAAATAATTTCATGAGTTTTTGCAATCTAAAAAAAATGGGGGTGGGGGGATTTTTGCAAATTTTCACCTGGAACGGAAAGTAAATTGGCGCAGGAACCCCGTACTTTCCAGGTTTTATGGTGTCCATGTACAAAGTGAGGATCATGTAGAAAACTGTGTCGAAGACCAGCATGAGGAAAACTGAGGTCATGGTCATGCCGTCGTTTAAATACGGTGCTTGGTTCATGTTTTTCCACTGGAGTCCAACTCCTTTGAAAAATAAATAAATAAAAACAAGCCATAAAAGCTGTTTTTGTTGCGTTTTTTTTCCTTTTGTAATTTTAAAGTATACCTCTGCCCTCGAAAGCAAATGCGACTCTGACACCATAAACCATGGCCATGTTGGGCATCAAACACAAAGCCAGGGACTCAGAGTTGCCAACTGTTCCTTCCACACCATCGCTGACGTTCCACAAATTCAGGGAAAATGTAGGAGCCATGTAAGTCATTAGCATGAGGAGAATTCCGACCGGGATCGTTTTCAGGACTGAAAATCAAATCCGTTGTTCAAATCTCGTCAACATAACCTCAGAAAAAGAACCACAATTAAAAAAAACAAACAACGTTATTCGCTGTGAAAAACTCACGCCTGTCAAAAAATGTCGTGACGAAAAATGAGAAGCTGATGAAAGACAAGGCGAATAGAATGTAGAAAATAGCTATGAGAAGTCCGTCACTGTGTCCATAGATGGCGCCGTCTGAGGAAATCGGCGCCACGCAGATAATTATCGCGATCGTTATCGGGATAATTAACGACACGATGCAGCTCAGCAGCCAACTTGACCAGTACAAGACCCTGCTCATGCCCATCATCTTCATCAGCTCCTGAAATAAAGATTTTCAGTAGAAACCAGATGACAAACTTTATAATTTTATTCTACATACTGGCCATAATTTACAAAATCAAAACCTCCAGAGTGTTTAAATCAATTAAAATCAACGAGCTGCCAAATTTTCCCCATGATCCCTGCTTTTGCTTGCTCTCACTTTTATTCACAGCATCTAGAGATTTCGGGATAATTTATTTTAATTTTTTTGTCAAAATGCTGTCAAAGGATTCATGTTTCGACACACTTTCAAATTTTTTGTCGTGATTTAAAATTGGCAAGTAAAATCTGAGTACCTGTGGTACCTTGCAATTTAACCTCTCGAAATTTGACATTCAAATTTGCAGGGAGGTTGATTTGCAATCTGACATTGCCCTGCACTTTGACCTGCTTTGGCGACTTTTTTTGTTGCATTTTTGTACTGATATTTTTGAATTTCAGAGTGTCTTGCAATTTGACAGCTTTGCAATTCAAC